GTATTTGAACGGGACATACGGAAATTCTGCTATTCTTTATTGAAAAAAAATTACTTCAACATCGGATTGGAACGGAAAAGGGCCTACAACACACACCAGCCGACAAATATTAACATTTATTACATTTTATGGTTAACTTTTTTTTTCTTTTCAAGATTGTCAGGGGAGGCTCTGCCTCCCCTGACCGCACGTCACTGGTTCAGGGTTCAGTGATTTTATGATTTCACTCATTTAAAACGTTTTCCAGGGCAAGTAAAATTTTACAGTGCCATTTGCAATTATGTGTAATTATGTAATGTTTTACAGTGGTATAAAGATGTAGGCTGGGTTGTTTTGTCTTTCTGTGATATTTTCTGAATAATGAACACAAACTGGTGACTAGTTATTACCTCTTACTGTGGCAGAGCGCTTACATGCAGATGGTTTGTCAGCTGGTTATCATCTGTAGTCTTTGGCATTTGTAGAAGCTACTTTTTAAAATTTGGTTTGGTGTTCCAGTGCCCTTTCATTGTAGTTGTCAATCAGACCTGTGAGGGTTTAAAATGATATGCTTAAGGAGCTCACGCTGTCACACTGAGCACCATTTTGTACTCAAACACAGGTTTGGAGACAGGCTTTAGTTTCCTTTTTCATCCTGCTTTATTTCCCCGTCATGCTTTTCTTAATCATGGGATCTCTACGTTTAACTTTTTAACTGCTGTGCCATTATGGCTTCACCGTTTGTGAATCACTTTGTAATTGTGTGGATTATCTATACCCTCCATCTTAGGAACTCCAAGACAATGCTGCTGATTAAACTATTGTCATGTTGATCCTTACATCTGGGTGATGAAAACAGGAGCACATTAAATAGTGTTGAAAAGACTCCATCATGTTTCTGACAACTATACTTAGGCTGCAAACCATGTTGTTGCAATAAAGATATCACTGACTCAGCAGGCACTTCTAAACAGCAGAGAAGAAAGAGAGTCTTCAGCCTCTGTAGTGTTTCACACATACAGATACATGTAATAGAGATATTTTTGCTAAAAACCTGACAGATTTCATGGGCATTTATACTCTTAGAAAGGAAAGTAATCAGTATCTGTGGCTATTTCCTTTTTTTTCTACAGATACAATGTGCTACTGTTTGTGATGCTCTACTGTCTGCCAGTGACATTTAACCTCATCATAGGCTTCCTGACCGGCAGGCGGCTTTGGGGAGGGAAAAAGTCCACTTTCTCTGAACTCGATCCTCGCAGCCAAGCTCTGCACACCTTACGCCTCAAGACTCGCCAGAAGATTGTCAAGATGGTGGTGTGCCTGGTGCTGCTGTTTGCAGCCTCCTGGCTGCCGCTCTACTTTACTGATCTTTGGATCGACTGTGAGCAAAGGCCGCCGTCTTGGCTGCTGCAGACGCGACCATTTGCCCAGTGGCTGGGCCTGACAAACTCCAGCCTTAATCCCATCTGTTACTGTTTCATAGGGGATCTGTACCGCTCGGCAAAGCTGATACGGATGCGATACTACCAGAAAGTCGCCTCTTTCTTTGGCTCCTCCTCATTCTCCAGCTCAGCTGCAGTAGCGTCTTCTGCTGCATTTATTACAGACACTAAAGTGACTCCTGCTGAGCACCACCATATTGCTGCTGCTGCGGCTGCTGTAGCAGCATCTGCATCCATGGTTACAATCCCCAGGCTGCTGAGCTTGGCCCAAGGCCAGGGACTAGGTCGGAAGGTCAGAGACAGTTCAGACAGCCAGGAAGGCTCAGACCACAGTATCTCAGACTGGTGTCCGTCCAGTCCCAGTGTGTGCGACAGCTCCTTGTTCTCATGCCAGCTCCACACACTCCAGCACTCCATACAACAAACCAGCTTCCTTCCCACAAGAAGACACTCTGTGAATGAGAACACTGGATCATTACCTTTAAGAACTGAGTCTGTAGAAATAGACATGCTGCCTCTGAGGAGGCATTCAGGGGAGAGAATATATGGTCTGCCAGCTGACAGGAGAGGCATTAAAATGAGCAGAGAAGCTTTCTGTCACACTGGGCAGCACAGAAACAAAACGTCACAAAAATACTCTCTGGTAGGAGACGAGGAAGATGAAAGAACCGATTCGACGATCCTGTGAAAGCTGCAGATTATCAGATGTATCAGCAGGGAGGAACGGTTTCTTTTTGTCCTGTCGGCAACAAAAACACACACACACACAGCTCCTGATTCACAGTTTGCCATTGACAGCATGCATTAATCTCTTGTAAAAGCCATTGTTTGTCTGGAGACTAAACTGACCTGGTCTACACTCTCCTCCTTTCTCTGTGTTGTTTTCAATAAACGAGTCACCGCAGAGTTTACAACTAGTCACTGTAAATTTGAATAGACTTTTAACTTAAATTCTTTTTCTTAAATTTCCTGGTCTTCACTATGTTTTCAGTCTGGAGGTTGAACCTTTTTAAGAAATGATTTTTTTTTCAGAGGATCACTGTTGAACCAAGTTTGGCTGAACTTTGTACATCGAAAGAGAACCAGGACGTGTTTGGACCAATGAATTCAGGTGTTTGAAAACAGTTAGAAGGAGCAGTGATGGAGAGAACG